AATAAGTATGGATCGCCATAAAAAAAAAAAAAAAACAAAAACAAAAAAAAAAAACGATTTTAAGTGTATTTTTATAGTGTTTTTCGATGTTCCTTGTCATCCAACTTCTGATTAGAAATACCTTTGTTGTTTCTAGCTTCTAGGCATTAGGGAGTGTGAGACTCAGACGTGTTTTTAATGAATGCATATTTAATAAGGTAAAGTGCAAAAGAAAGGGAGAAACAGTGGGAGGGGCTTGGGCTATTTCTGAAACTTGGTGTATAACTGATACTGATTTCAAAGCACTGGAGCAATGCTGACTTGCAACTGAGTAGTTCTTGGATAAACAGTACTGAATAGTTAAGGACACTTAAGAAATCTAAGGTACAGTTCCCTGTGGTGGAAACTACTCTGGAAGCTAAGAAATGATGGCTTGCCTCTGTTTTTCGCAGATGTGTTAGAAATGTCTGCCTTCAAAGAACGTTTGCTGAGTTCAGGTTTTAGTACTGGCATGCGATTGGAGGACGTGGAGGTGCAAATGGGGGGATGCTTGGCAGAAAGATGCCTTAGAAAGCATGTGTGGCATAAGCTGAAACACAAAACAAAGTGCTGGGGGTGCCAGGGGCGGGGGTGGAAGGGTGCAGTCAATGTCGGGAGTAACTTGGTCCACTCTCTGAACACACCAAGGTCAGCGGTTGAAAACAACAGTGTCATTATGTTCCGTTGACTTTCTGTGTGCTACGGGATTTGTTTTCGATCCGCAACTGTGTTACTGAGTCAGGCCGTTAGTGTTTCTCTCCTGGTAGCTATTATTTGGTGAATATTTACTTACTGATACTCTGTCAGGCATCAATCTGTATCAAAAACAAGGAGCAGGAAGAGACCAGATGCTCATGGATTGATTTAAAATGGAAATGGATTACAAAAGCAGGTTAATAACTACTCTGAGGGTAAAGGGATACATACACAGCATCATTTCTCATTTCCTAACAGCCCATAGGTATCTCCAGAATTCCCCCTTAAGAATGCCAATTCTCCAACACCACTGCTAGGAGCTGATTGTGAGAACCCTGCATGATGACTGTACTGCATTCCATTTGTATTCCTTGTGCTATGAACACTGAATAACAGCATGTACATTGATAGAATAGCACCCCCCATGTCATGTTGACTTAGCGAGGAAGATTATTTTAGTGTTGTCCGAACATGTCTCCCCACCCTGGTTCATGTGCTGTAAACTTAATCTAACAGTGCTGAGAGTCCAGGCTTTAAGAGCTGATTATACTGTGGAGCCTAAGCCTCCCAAGTAGATCAATACTGTCATCATAAAAGGGTTTTTGTAGTTGAGGGGGGTTTCTTAACGAGGATAGGTCAGAGTATTTCTCTCTCCTTCCCTGCCCCTCCCCTTCCCTTCTCCTGCACTTCCCCCTTAACCCTCTCTTCCTCCTCCTCCTTTTTCCTTCCAGGATGTTATGAGGCAGCAAGAAGACCCTCAACAGATGCAACCCCTCAATCTTGGAACTCAAATCTGGAGAACCAGTTATTATAAATTATGATTCTGTGGTATTTTGTTACAGAAGCATAAGATGACCTATACTTATTATATTAGAAGTTTGTTTTTGTTCTATTTTTTACTAGAAAGACAGTTTAGCCTCACAATCACTAAGTATCATGTGTATTTTATAAAATGGTTAAAAAAAAAAACAAAAAAGAACATTGTGGTTTTGTGTGTTACTTGAATGTTTCGGTTACCAAGAGTGAAAACCACCACCAGTAGCTATCCTGTTAGACACTCTCCATTCGCAGGCCAGGGAATTATCTGCTCTTGGCTTCATGTTGAAATTTGAGGTTTAAAATGTTCCCCCTCTTGTCTAATTTCTACTATCTATAATGGACATGAGAATACTACAGATGTCTATCTTAAGACCAACTAACCCCTCAATGCATCATTCATCACAAAGGAAGTTGTTTTTAACCACAGAAGCCTTAGAAGGGAGGACAAAAGGTAAAGATTACAAAAATGAAGATCTGTGGAGAGCAGCATATACTTGTGTGGTTTTGCTTTGCTGATAGGGGCCATGACTGTGCAGTGAGTTTGTGGGCATTTTGGGCTGATTGCCTCCAACTGCCATCTGGGTTGCAAGGATGGAGACCAGGGCAATCTAGCTCTATGGCTCCATAAATGTTCAAGAAGCTGTGCTACACAGCTTGGGGGTTTCCAGGTGACAAAGTCCTCTCCCAATGGCCTTGCTGGTAAAGGCAGCTTCTTGAAAGTGCTCTCAGGATCCTTAGGCTAGGATGATTCCGAAGTGATGATTTATGAGGTTCCAGAACCCAGCTCTGGTTGACTCTGTAAAACTGGTTTGGGCCCTTTGACACATTAAGTCCTGCCTACAAGGTTGTCAGAGGCCAGAGCAAAAGGTAAAATGAACGAAAACAAGCATTTCACCCTGTCTCATTTCCAGTGATTTCTCTCTGTGACTTGGAGGGCTCTTAGTGTGACTGCAACCTTTCTTTTTCCCCCATTCATAATACTCTAGCAAATTCTTACCACTGTAAACCAGCCAAGATGCTGCTCTGAGAAGATTCCTGATAGCAATAGAATTGGGCCTCACTCATTTCCAAGCACAGATCATGTGTAAGGAACCACGGCAAGTGTTTTGCACATACCACCCAAGAGCCCATTTCTTAGACAGGAACATTAAGGCACAAGCACAAAATCACTGTGGCAAAACCTTAGGTGCCATGCTAACGTCTTTAATTTCTTAACATTTTGTGACAGCAAATGCCATGCGTGTGTTTGTGTTTGGGGAAGATAGAGTGGGTAACAGTGCTTAAAAATGACATTGAAAGTGTCATCAAGAACTAATTGTGTGGTCACTATTCCCGAGCTTCCCCCTCGGATTCTTATGCACTTTGGAAGCTTATACGAACTATGACTATTTTCATTTATTCAGCATTCTAAAGTTGTCTACCTTAAAAAAGTCAATTGCTCATACTCTATTTTCTCTTAGGAGTTTGAACCTACCACTATATACTATCCTTTCAGGTTGGAGTTGTACTCACTCATAAGTAAATATCTCCAGCTTCTACCTGGGTCAATTAGATTCTGCCTTCCTGCTCATTATAGTAACTTGAATAGCACTCTCACAGGACACAAAGGATTCAGGCAGTATGATGGCTACTGATATAAAATGTATATTCTAGTTTAACCAATAGGATTCTAAAGATGTACAAAAGTCTATATAATAGAGACCAGAAGTGAGAGGGAATACACAATGCTTAACCAATGCACAAATATCACAGCATCTCCAATACTCCAGTATGTGGTAGTTCTCTCCTGAAGTATTAGTATACAACTACCTGGTACAGGACATATGAGCAGGAGAACTGCCCCTGGGCCTCACCAACTACACATTCAGGAGAGCAGGTCCTGCATCTCACCTGGGTAGCACAACAGAGCCAACCCCACTGTGGAGGTGTGGGCAAACCAGTCCGGAAGTTGTGAGCATGGGAGAACTGTCCCCAGTACTTATTTGTCATGTGGCACCAAGATGGGGAAGAGATGCTCCTCCATTTAATGCCTGAGGCAGGTGAGAGAGCTGGCCCTGCAGTCATAAGAACAAGAGAGCTGGCCCTGCCCCTCATCAGCTGCAGCACTCAGGAGAATAGTTTCTATGTGCCATACCTGAGTAACACACTAGTGCTGGCCCTGAAAGAGTAGGTGTGGGAGAACAGACCCTGAGGATGTGAAAGCAGCAGAACTGACCTCACCCCTTGCTCATGGATGCAAGGGGTGACCTAGCCAGAGCGATGCAGGAGAGTTCATCCTGGTGGTGAGGACAAGGGAGAGCTGGCAGGCTAACCAACACTGCAACCACACAGGCCCAGAACCAGGGTTATGAGTTATCCCATCCCAACATCCACCCCATCTGTGATCTCCTGGAGCATGGGAGGGACCTGACCCACAGACCCAAAGCTACAGGGTCTCCATGATACAGGACAAAAACAGGATAACCAAGAGGAATCCCAGTGAAAGACCAGCATCAACAGTGTGGCAGAAACCAGAGATCTTGAACCAGACAAATGACTCTTTGCAAGGAATACTTGCATGTAAAGATATATGGACAAAGGGGTATACTGTGTGACTTACTGAGTCACACCATAGCTTCCATGATAAGACTTACTTTTCTTTTTTTCTCTTAAATCTTACTTTATTTTATAAGGGGGGTTGCAAGGGCAGAGGGTTGATATGAAGGGACAGTGAAATTAATGAAATGGAGATGCATGATATGAAAGATACACAGAAAAACAACACCTGGTCCAACTCCTGGGTCCCTGTGGCTGCTTAGCATACATATAATATCTCTGATGTTGTGGAATGTCAAAGAAAATTGAATTACAAATAAGGTTCTTTTGAACTCAAGAATACTTCAGAAAGTCTATCCAAGACATCTACCTTCTTAGAGCGGCAGTGATGGCTTGTTAACAGGTCACAGTAGAACTGTAAGTTTACCAGGGGAAGAACACTTACAGGCAAGAATGTGAGAACAGGAGCTGTTTTTAATATTTCCTTTTTAGAAATATAAACATTCTTCAATAACTAATATATGGAAATATAGTTTCATATAATTTCTCACAAGTATCAACATATAAGGATTATGTATTCATTCTCATTTTATTTTTGTTATTTTTATGATAAAATGTAATATAAATCTTAAGGAAACAGAATCAAAGCTTGATTTAGGTACTTATTTTTAAAGACAACTTAGTCCCACTTATTATTTATTGACAAAGCTGATTGCAACACAAAACTAACATGTAATTATGAGGCAATGTAATTAAGTAAATATGAAAATATTCATCAGCTGTCATACACCCATAATGCCAAGAAAATTCAGTTCTTAGACCAAAACTTCTCTCAAAATATTTTTGTTTAAAGTTCTGGAGATGTTTTCAGACATGTGATGTGATGTGATGTGTGGCTCCAATTCAAAGAAATGGTTTGACTTCGTGGCAGCTTTGTTCAATGCATTTATTTAAGTCTCAGAGGATAAAATAAACATTAGAAGACAGCAGTTAGATTGAAAATATACAAAACTCCAGTATCCCATGTAACACATTGCAGATTTAGGCAGCTAGTACCTAGCTCTCCAGGAGTTTCTTGATCACTTTCTTATATAAAGGTGCTTGCCGGTCCAGGCAAATTTTCCTCCCATTCTTCAAAGTGGCTCTGCCAGGGAAAAGGGGTGGAATGCACTCTTCAGGGCCTTGGTTGGAAGAAGGGAACAGATGGAAAGAATGAGCAGAGAGGAGAAGATGGGCCTATAAAATGTGGGCCGGACTCACATGAGCTGGGGAACCGCACAATGGCGTCCTGCCTTGATCACCTCCAGGGTGGTGATATGCTTAGGGTGGATCCCCGAGGAGATGGTCTTCACACACACACAATGAAGATCTGCATCGCCTTCTTCAGGGCTAGCTGAGGGCAAAGGGGGAGAAGACGGAGGGGAGTAGAGGAGGAAATGGTGGGCGACCATATCATTAACACCCTTGGCTCTAGCACCACCTCTCCCTCAGAAGGCAGGTGGGTGGTGAAGTGCCACTGGCAAGCCAATTCAGCATAACTGGTATCTAAGAACTCACCTCCCCACCCCTGAGGCTTCTGAACCATCTCCCAGCCCCTCAGATCCCCTCACCCTCTCTCACCGCTGGTGAAGGCAATCGCAGCTGGAAGAAGCAACAGACCCAGGAGAAGCAGCCCAGGGCTGAGCCAGGGGCCTCGACACACCATAGTGGCACTCATCACGATGGTGAAACTAGATCCAAGGACTAGCACAGGGAAACTGGGCCCTGGGTCTCAAAGCTCAGATCAGTGGCTCCTGGGACCTTCTAGGCACTTTTTATCTCCAGTGCCAGCCCAGCCCGGAAACCTGGGATACAGGATGAGGAACTGCCCTGCGGAAGCAATGACACTTAGGGAACAGTAACTGGGCTCTGGCCAGCCAAGATTAAAACAAAACAGAGCAAAAAGGAAAGCTGAGGTAAGCTATCTTGACTAGTGGCTGGAGCCACATCTCCAGTGTGAACTTACATGAACAATGACAGAGTTAGAAAGAGTAGTACTTGAATTTTGCAAAAGGTATACCATATGTGACAGAGTTTTCTACTGTCACCGTACAGTTTACAGAACATATACCTTCAGGACCAATTTGTTGCCTTCCCAACTTCCAGTTGCTTTACCCCAAACTGCCTGTTCTCTCCTGCCTTTCTTGCCTGTCACTCTACCTGTTGACGACAGTGAGTGTGACTGTGCTGTGGTTATAGATGTGTGGCTTGAAATTCACATTTTTCTGCCACTAGAAAGGTCTAAGTTAGTGTCTGGACGATGACTTCTGAACTTCATCCTTATATGGAAGCATTCCCTAGTCTTCTAACTACTTTCCAATCTACTGCAGGAAGCAAGGTCTATGGTCCTCATTGCTCTTTTTAGGAAAATCACCAGGTATATTTGAATGTGTTGCTTTAATAACATCCTTGAGCCTAGATATTTCTCTTGTTGGTTCTCTAGAAAAGACTGTTAAGAGAGTGTGCTAGGACATTTGGACATCTCTGTATTACCTTATGCCACATACCGTTATAATTATGTTTATCTGCCTCTCCTGGATAGTGATACAGTCAAGCATAATTCTCTGAAATATATGTTTCTGAACACTCAGCATTGACCACAATGCCTACTGCCAAACATGTCTTAATTTCTATGTGTTTAGGGAACTGAAACTGAAGGCCTATACTAGGTCAGCAACAAAAGGAATGGATAAGAGAGTTTGCATATGGACATCAAGGAAATACCCTAAGCAGCTAAGCCCCAGATTTCAGCATTTGCAGAGAAAAGGGATTCAGGTAACAATGTAAGTCAAGGCAACCTTTCTCTACATTTAAAATAAAATAATTCAGTATAGGTACACAACAAGAGGAGATAGATACTTGCACCTCAAAAAGAATAAGCATGGTATAAACATTGCCATGTTAAGACCCAGTCTTTCCAACTCCCAGTGGGAGAAAGACTGCCTGGGGTAAGCACACGATGCCACAGCTGCTTTTAACTATTGGAGCAAAGCTGTTGAAAATTGTGTCTGTTTATGGACACTTGTGTAATTATTACTGAATACTTGTTTGTTTTACAGGCAAATATCCTCAGGCACTGAGCCTCTGCTCGAGTAGGTGAAATTCTCCCTTTCTCCATGATAGGTATACACCAGGAGAGTTCGGTACCCATAACTTGATGTGATATTTGGTGAAGTCTTCTTAGAAAAGGACAAATCCGTGAAAGTGTCATGCTCCTATGGTTAAATACCAGGATTCAAATATGTACTCGGTTCATTTTATGTTCTATAACAGGTTTCCTCTGTTTCTGTTAGGAATTGAACCCTGAACCTCTCACATCCTGGGCAAGCGCTCTACCACTGAGCTACGTTTCATACGTCTCACGATTTCTTAAACTTCAGGTTCCCTCCCTTCCTCCTTGTAACATAGGGAAGATTAACACTTCTGCTAACAGCCAATTCCTAACATTTATGCATGGGTTATTATGTGACTACAGTATTTAAGCATTTGAGTTCAATTGTTTTCATTATCATATCAGCTCTATTAGACTGGCAAGAGATCATTCTCATTTTAGAGATAAAGAAACTAAGTCACAGAGCAAATCAACAACCTGACCAAAGTGAAAGAGTTACAAGGTAGAGTTATTCTGGCTCCAGAGGATGGACTTTAACCATATTACAGGGAGCTAGTAAGATTATTTTATTAATACACACAGAATACTTAATATGCCTAGCATTTTAAGCAATAAATTCTTGCTAGTGTACATTAAAATCATCAACTTAGTGACTTTGCCTGACAATATTATAAAAATAACAAACTTACTTTAAAAGAAAAAACAAAATAGAGACCTAGGAATGTTGCCCAGTGGCAGAACACTTGCCTACCATACATATTGTCCCAAATTCACTGTAATAGAGAGAGAGAGAGAGAGAACAGCAGATAGACCCATCTAACAAATTTCCTTGTTTCAGAAAATAGTGGGTTTTTTTTTTTGCTTTGTTTTTGTTTTTGTTTTTTTGTTTTTTTTTTTTTTTAAGAAACAGAGTATTAATCCCCTTTTCATTCCCTGTTTTTTGGTGCTACTGGTGTTACACATATTCATTATGAAGTAAATGACTACTGCTTACAGAAGTTATATTCTATGACTTTATTGTGTTCAATTTGAAGGTTAAAACAAATGTTAGAAAACATTGCAGAGGTTGCTTGGGAACAAGGCATTCTAGGGTTAAGACACTGGAAAAACTCTACTAAGCAAGTATGATATGCTTGGCTCTAGACAGTTCTATTATCATGGACCACTGTGAAGTTTGTCAGTATATATGCATATACATATATGTATATAACAATAGTTAATGAAAAAAAGAGGTCGTGGATATGAAAAAGAACAAGGAAGGCGCTATGGAAGGGTATGGAGGGAGGAAAGGGAAGGGGGAAGTGATGTAACTATATACTCAAAACTAAAATAATTCAAAAAATACAGAAACAAAACTTGACATAAAGCTTCAGCTAAAGAAATGAAAAGCACAGCACAATACTTAGCCAAGAATTGCAGAACTGAACCATAAATTGCATGTTACTACTAGGTTAGCTCCTTTGCATCTTCTTTGCGCCACCCTTTAACACACCTTCTCAGACAGAACACAATGTGATTTCTGAGACAGAATGAAAATGTATCCCCCACCATTTTAAAGTGGAAAATTATTCTAGAATATCCAGGTATGAAAACCCCACCCTTCTTGCACAGTAAGTCACCGGACAGCTTGTCAATAACCTTCCAATATCTTCATGACTATTTTCTTGACGGCAGGGGCATTTGGGTCCAGGCAGGTTTTCTCCCCACCTTTCAGTGTGGCTCTGCAACAGAGAACAGGTCCATGAGGGGGGGGAAAGAGAGTCTAGGTCAAGGTGAAAGCTCCCCTAATGACAATAAGGATAAAGAACGAGGAACTTACATCACTTCCACGTTGGCACAGTGGACTCCTGGCCTGAACACATTCACAAAGGAAATTCTACTGAGCGGGATTCCAGAGACTATATTTGGACATCTACAGCGCAATTCAAGATATGGGTCCACATCATTAGCTACATTGGAACACAAGAATTACTTAGTGATTATACATTCTCTTTCTTCTTTCCTTACTTGGAAATTGAAGGTATTTGTCCCTCTTTCACACAGACATTGTGAATTTTTCCTGTAAAGTTTTAATAACAAAGTTTGTAGATTTCCTGCACACATTAAATGCCCAAGTACATTTTAGTTTTCTTAGTCATTACACCCTCCAAACCCAAAAGCCCCAGTACAGAGTCATTTTGTGCACAGCCCCAGCCTCCCACATATACACCACAAGCTGGACACAAGCTGAAGGGAAGCAGCCTTCCACTTTCATCTTTCCCCAGATTTTTCTTACATTGTCCAACTGTAGTGTGAACCAGTGCTGTGAGGAGCAGGACCAGCAGCAACAACACCTGTAGGCTACGGAGTGGGCTGGCCCTGGTGCAGGAGGACGGAGGTGGGAGTCTGAAGCCCATGGTGGAGAAGACTGATCTAGAACTGTGCCCAGAGCCAGGAGACTCAAGGTGAGGATGAGCTGCTGCCTAGATCACTGCTGCTATGTGGCTTTCTGTGTCTCCACACCTCTTTTTATGCTGTTAAGAGGTAGGGAAGGGGAAGTGAGTGTATGTGATGATGTGACCATAAAAGGATGGTCAAGACATGCCCAACCCACACTGACCAGACAGGTTAAAAATCCTGCAGAATTAGCTACAAGCTGTGCATCATTTCAAACACATTCCTACTGTCACTCTCAACATCTGACTCTTACAGATGTATAAACACCTGACTTAGAGTTAAGACCTAAACCAAAATACTGTGAGCACTTTTGCTGTGCAAGCAGGAAGTCATGAGCCACACCCTTCCTACAATGCAGTTTGGGGGCTTAATAGACACCATTCATGATTTCAGACACAGCTCCTTGAGAAGGAGCTGCCCTTAGCTTACCAAATGACAAAGAAAGTTCCTGTTCTGGTTCTTGATAGGTGTCAGGATTTGTTTGGCATGTAGGGTAGAAATATGAGTCACTTACTGTAAAGGGTTCCTTTGGATATGCATTTATGGGCTTCTTTCTGTCTTTTAAGTAAATTTTCTTTTACAATTTCATCCAAATAGTATATAAGAGAACACATCTTCTTTATGTCATAAACTACTTGTTTCTTCTGTATGAATTTGTGTGAATATCAAGATCAAAATATGTGGTGTCTCTTATTTTTAAAGAAATATTCATACGTTATAAATATACAAAAATTAAATATGTTATTTCCTCTTCATAGTTACTCCATACTACTGCTCATCAGTGGTAGCCATCAGTAGCTACCATTGCCAAATAGAAATTTATTTCTCTTCTGTATGCATTTATATGCATATATGTATAAATTAAATACATGTGCACAAAAAGATCTTTTTGCACAAGGGAATAAATAATTCTATATTCATTATATAATTTACTCACCTTCCAAAACTTGTAGTGGAATACAAAGAATTTAAAGTGTTTCATGATCTTAATTTCTAGCCACCATAAACAACCTTATGTGTGGTTGACAATATTTATTGAATTCACTGTATATCTTTTATCCATATTTAACACTATTCATACTTCTTTACATGTTCAATTGGTAAAATTTCCATAATTCTTATTTTTTAGGTGCAAGGGACAGTTGCTCGATGTAGATCAAGCTGTCTTCAAACTCGCTATATAATAATGGTTCTCAAACCGTGGGTCTTGGCCCTTTTGGGGCCTGGGGCAGCAAAAGGCCATTTCACATGTGTCATATGTCAGATATTCTGCATATCAGATATTTAAATTGTGATTCATAACAGCAGCAAAATTACAGTTTTGAAGTAGCAATGAAATAATTTTGTGGCTTGGGGTCCACCATATCATGAGGAACAGCATTAAAAGGTCTCAGCATTAGGAAGGTTGGAGCGCTGCTATAGAGCCTAGGATAGCCTTGAAATCATTGTCCTTCTTCAGCCTCCCAAGTGCTAAGATCCTGCCATACACCATGATGGCCTATTTTAAGACAACCAATGAATGTATCTTGTCAGCAAGTTTCGGGAGGAAGTAGCAGCCAATCAATAGTCCTGTAAGTTTTACAGGACTGCCTTATTAGTCAGTCTTGAGATAAAACATCTATCTAGTAGCTTCTGTTTGTTTGAGAAATACTAAGCACCTATTATGTGCCTGACAGTCTAAAATTCTTGCACTACTTATTCATTTAACTTCTTCTACCTCAAGAAAGTCCTAAAATATTTTCCCAAAGCACTGGGACTTTAAATAATACTCTATCTTCACTACTATAATTTTTACTGTTAATTTATATGCCGTGATTTTTATCAACCCTTTCTGTTTCAATGGTTAAAAATAACATATGGAAAATATGATTTGTTGTGGAAATGTGCAAGGAATATTTTATAACAACCATTTAATTAGAAGCAGCTAGCTTATATAGAACTATAATTTTATAAATACTAGAAAATGAATAGATACCAGAAGTCCCTAGCTTTAAAATAACTTAATAGCCCTTTTCATTAATCTTTCACTGTCATCCCTCATTTTTTAAAATGTGCGGTAAGTTATTTTATCCATTTTCCCCTTAAGCAACCTTATAAATAGCAATCACTCAGGAAACAAGCAAGTTTCTATGACCCAAAATAAAACTTATCTGCTAGCTACTTTTTTTTTATGGATACTGGAAGGTTATTTATTTATTAAAATGAAAACATGTAGTATCTCTGCTTGACAGGGAGCATTTTGAAGCACTCTCTCTCTCAGATAGCTCTTCTAAGTAGTGCAGAAAAAAAGTGGTCACCTGAAAATAAGGTGTAAAAGCATTCGGAACAGAAGATTCCAAGTAAAAATTTCCACTTGTTAAAGCTGAGATGGTAGGCGAGCAGAAGATTTTCTGTGAGAGCGGGAAGCAAGTGTTTTCTGCTTGATGTCGACATGTTAACAACATAGACACTTATGTTAGCTGAGGGTCCTCCTTTCTGCCCAGGGAGATGCAGACCAAGAGGGGTGTGTGCAGGATGAATTATCTTTCCAGATACTCCTACTCGGGAGCTGTGCTACGTTTTCTAGGCCTGAGAAGATTTATTTTAATAACTGCATTTGCGGAGCAGCAAATGCATAGCCATGACTCACTTCCACAGCAGTCATTGTTTGAGGATATTGTAACCTAAGATGGCTTCAGAACCTGAGAACCCATTATTATGCAGTACCATTATTCTTTTTTTTTTTTTCTGCATGTCAAGTCTGCTCTTATTTTAGTGACTTAAAAATAATTCTTGTTTTGAAGGTTCTGTTATTATTGAACTTGAACTTTGGCTGTTGTCCTCTCCCCAGAATTCCTTTGGTGAGAGGATTAACCAGCCACTCACACTGCTGAAAATTCAAAATGCTGCCTCTGCTTGACAACTGGCTGGTGCTGGCTGCTGGAACTTCTCCCTATGGTGATCCTCTCTCCGCGCTTCGTTTCTCTGTCTACTCTAGCCCCCTCTCCTCTTAAGAAAACCATTGTCTTGTGCTGGGAAGATTGTTCTATGGATAAAAACACTCGTCCAAAATTCTGATGACCCACATTTGATTACTAGAACCCATGTGGCAGGGCACACCAACTCTCCCAAGTTGTCCTCTGACCACCTACATCCACAGAATGAATAGATACAATATTGATTTAAAAAGGAAAAGTCATTGCTTCGTGGGAAAACACTGCATTGTCCATGAAAAATATCATAATCATCCCCAAGTCACAAGGATCCTGCACAATGTCTGGTCTGCTGAGCAGTGGCATTTGATTGACAAACTGATCTCCTCCTTGGCCTGGAGACACTCCTCCTGGCGCTTTCGTGCTTCATTGGTCTTAGACCTGCGAGCCCCAGCCTGGTCAGCCAGGAGCTTCTTCCAGGCCTTGTCTGTCTTCAGTTTGTGGATGTGCTCCATGAGAATTCGCTTGTTTTTGAAGACAGTCACATTGACCTTCAGGTACAGGCTGTAGTATATATGGCAGCCAGTCTTCTTGGATTCACAGTATGTCCTCAGAAGTCGACACAGGATCTGCATCCTTCTCATCCAGGTCACTGTCTTGGGCATTCTCGCATTGGCAGTACCCTTATGCTTCCCTATGCCCATATGCTTGCCCTTCCATCAAGCCAAAGTTTTTTCTTCAGCATCAGTCCTGGGAATGGACAGTCACAGGCTTCTGGATGATCAGCCCATCTTTGATTTGCTTCCGGATCTACTGATGGGAGTGGGCATTGGCCATTTCGTTGGTCTCATTGGGGTCCAACCAGACTGTCTTTTTACCACAGCGGAGGACCTAGAGGCAAGCCTCTTCTGTAGCCTGAGCATACTCATAGCTGCAGACACAGCAGTGAAAAGGTTCCCACATCTTTTAACATACATTTATAAATAAATTCTTAAGAGCGCTAAATCGTTCAAATATAGCAACATAACTTTAAAAAACTAGATAGATAGATAGATAGATAGATAGATAGATAGATAGATAGACAGACAGATATGGATTTTAAGGTCCAGATCTGAAACTTTCTCCCTGTGAATAGGAGTTTGAGTTAGGGAACTGAGGACAAGAGCCCTACCTCCAACCCTCAAAGCTTGTGGGGTAGCTTCCATATCAGTGTGTGGGTAATATGTAACTAGATGTGAAAGGCAGTGGCTCTGGTTGTGTACTGTACAAGAGCTGTTAAGGGGATGGATACCCAATCCATTTAGAGGAGTGAAACAAGTTTCTTTTCACCTGGCTGAGAGGTAAATCAGAGCATTTGAGAAACACATCCATTAAGATGCTTTTCCACAGTGGGCATGAGGATGGGATGTCTTGGCAGATTTTTAAATTTGTGAAACAAGATCTTAATATTGATTGAAACAAAATCTTAGACTTAACCTGTAGGTCTCCCCATGTCACAATTTCTCTCTTCATATTTGAGATATAAATGGCCCCTCTCAGAACACGGGAATTAATTCTGCTTAAGAATGAGCCAAGTGTCAGCTCAAATCAGATGCCCATTACACATTCGCCTTCTCTTCCTTGCTTTAGTCACAGAGGTAACTAGATTTCCCCAGGTCCTCTGTGTGGTAAATTTCTCATCCTGTGACATCCAGGAAGGATTTTCAAGTTAAGTGTGTGAGAGTTTACTCACAAAAATTCTTTTCCTCATGCAAGCATTAAAAACCATGATAGAAATACTAAACTACTAGTCATATAAACCATAAACCTGTCATACCTTTAGGAATTAAATGTGTCACACTCAGAGGCAAGCAGGAAAGTCTGGCAGAATCAGAAAAGGATGCTACAAACTTAATAAATTAATAAATAAAACTGCCTGAGCCCAGGCAGGCATACAAACTTACTTTTAACTAACCACATTTAATTCCTAGTGTGTGGGAGAGTTTCAGGGAGATAAGAGAGTGAAACATTATTTGGAGGTTAGTGTGATGAATCAAGGAGGTGTATACTTAGATGATAAATGTTAGATTAATTTTGCCTATGTGCTTTCATCCTTGAATGCATTAGTAGAAGGATCAACGGGAAATGGCCGGTACTGCGGAAGCAACTGTTGAAAGGAAAAGTATAAGCTCAGACTCCCAAGACCAGGTTCCCAGCATAAAGGAGATTTATTTGCCCCAGAAGGCCAGAGGGCAGGGATAAGTGACAAAGATAGATACATAAAGAGGGAGAAAGAAAATCAAACAAGTGTGAGGGCTAAAGGGTATTTGTTTGTCCAGAGGACTAAGGACTGCCTCTGGATAAAGACAGACATGGCACATAGGAAAATGGCGTATTATACAGGTAAAATGGGAACCCTGTGTTAGGATGAGGTATTTAATTTGAATTGGTCATATTAATTAGGTGAGCCAAAGGGGGCTTCTGATTGCTGGACCTCAATAATTTGATACCTGGATCTTGGTGGTCAGCCTTGGCGGCTAGCTTTAGGATTGTAATCTAATGGTTTTAGCAAGGCAAAGGGAATGGGAGAAGAGTAAGTCCTGCTTGCCACACTCAAGCTGGCCAGAGTCCCTTCCTCTGCCACTGAGACCTCTGTATAAGTTGTGCCTTGGTAGTGTTCCAAAGCCCATTTGTTCTCTATAGAATGACCAGTTGTAGAATAGCATGACACCCAGAATCTCAAGGAGAATACAAATTCCAGTGATTCAGTGGTCTAGAAGCAAAGTAAACTTATAAGTTTCACATCTGGATAAAGCAACAACAAGACCATGCAGATGACAAGTGGAAGAATAAATAGCCAGCTACTTTACCTCATTCAAGCAACTATGACACATATGAATCAAACCACCTACTTTGTTGTAAGTGGGACATAGTTTTCACTTCCTTGGTACTTGTCTTTTCACAAATTGGTTTCGGTGCAGTATTTTACTTACTTGTGCATGTGTTTCTAAAGACCACTATGTACTTTTGTGGACAAATAAACATATGGAATATTCATTTGTTCACAAAACATGTTTCATCATCATAGGGTGTTTGCTGTGTTTTCATGGATTACTCTTAGGCACATCAGCAATCAGAGATCATTCTAATGAAAGAATGTTCAAGACACTGGAATTTAGAGTTCAAGTCTTCATGGCAGTCTGGTTTATTTCTTCACATTTCCTATAATTCATGAAGTAATAAAATGTATTACTTGAGAGATCAAAGAATATACTGTGCAAGATTAATAACTTTTTCAAACTTAGAGGTATTTTCTACTTTTCTATACCATTAAAAATCTTGTCAACAAGCGCCCCTTACCAGCAGGAAGTAGTTTGGAAAGAACGGCGCCCAAATTCCCAAATATTGTGTATAAATGTTTGTTTTCATTTAATTGGACTTTGTTATATAAAATTAAATAAAATTAAAAAAAATCTTGTCAACAAACCATACTTTTAAAAATTATTTATTTATTTTTCTTATTTTACATATCAATCCCAGTTCCCCCTTCCTCCCATCCCCCCAGCCATCCTTCTATCCCACCTACCCCCCCCCCACAACTCCACAGGGAGGGTGGCGCACAGTGGAACCATGATGTATCTATCCCTGGTGCCCAAAAGGACTTTGGGAGCACATTCCCCATGGAGGGATACTCCCCTAACCTAGAATCAGGAGGGAGGGCCTAGTCCCTATTCCAAATGACTTGACAGATTTTGTTAACCATACTTTTTAAACTACTCTGGTATGTCTCATATCTTTGAGCCTCTTCCTCTCTAACTTTTACACAGGTACATCAGGACATGACAATAGAAAGTGTATCAGTTGATATTTTATATGTAATGAGAGAGGTTAAGTGATAAAGAAAAAACAAAGATTTTTATATAGCTAATAATATATTAGTACACATTCATATGTGAAAATGCATACCAATATTAGTTTATATAATAGTTTAATTGTACCAGATATATTTTTGTGTGAGTTAGGTTGGTATCTTTTGGTTGTCCCTAAAAGATGCTCTATTTGAATTACTATCTTCTTGCTAGAGAACGAGGCTTCTTTGCCTAGATCATGCTTTTATTTAAATATATCTCACATGCCTTAAACTCTCTCTTAGGAACTGTGATGAAATGATGGAAACTGTCCTTACCCTCATAAAGACTACAGTGCTATTGGAATAAACAGACACCAAACACTTTTACATGAAAAAAAAAAAGTTACAAATGAAAATGGAAAATTCTGTGAGAAAATAAAAAGGATCCCTAATCTGGTAGGGGGATGGGTGAGAGAGGTTGTTGTGAAGAAGTGAGAGAAAGGATGGAGGTCTGCCAGGTGAGTTCTTGGGGAGATGTTATAGACCAGGAACTTTCCAGTACACAAGGAGAAAAAAGACAGGTTAGTCAACACCTACCATGAACCAGGTTGTGACTTTAGGACAGTATCCAATAGCTTTGGTTGTTATTAGCTCACTAAGTCAGTCTGTACCAACACTGGAGTTACAGAGATAGAATATGGTGGCTGCCTTCAGAGAGTTCTTTGTAGATTAGAATGGAACAACCCCCAAACAAACAACAAAGCAGCATTTTTTGTAACTCAGTCATCTAGTATCTAAAAGATACCGAGCTGAAAAATAGCAAGAATAAGTGTCATGAAGAGGTATTGCTGGTCCCAAATTGTGAAGGATGAGTAAGTCTGCTCTTGTGGGGCAATGAAAGGAGAAAGGCTCTTGCAGGAAGAGCCCTAGCAAATGAAACAGAAGAAGCCTGACTGGAGAACCAAACTCTGAACTCACAGAGTGTGAGTGAGAGGCAAAGTTTGAAAAGGAAATAGAATGAGATGAGATGAGATGCATTGCCACCTTACTTGCTGGGCTTTAGTTCATTTTATTCTGTGTCTAGCAAATAAGGAGTGGGCTAGTCATCTCTGTGTCGCTGAAACAGACGTCTATAGTGAATTTTAAAAGGGTAAAAAGGAGGAAATCTATTTTGGCTCAGTTTTGAAGGTTTGAGGTCTTTGGCCTTGTCTCTGGCAGTATTCTATATCTGGCAGGAGTGCATGGTGGAGGAGACAGACCTTTTCAATCATAGGGGGTGGGGAGAAAGAGGAAGATGAGGATGATCTAAATCCCCCTTCTGGGCCCCACCTCCTACAGGTTCCATTGCCTCCCTGCAGTACAAACTCAGGGACTCAGCCCTTGATGAAAGGGCCTCTGGGACCCACTTGAGAGCTGAACTAGAGCAGAGTTGTAAGGGATTGGGGAAACAGGGCATGTATGCAGGCTTGGGAGCTGGAAGTTAGCTGTGTGGAGAATGTGGAGAATGTGGAGAATGAGAGTCACCATCACAAGAGACCAGAAACAGCCTAAGTGAAAATCAAACATACTTTATTTTTTTCTTCAAAAAAGTAATATAAACACATGAGACACTTTAAAAAGTATAATCTTAAAATAATGGCTATGATGCATTACTTATTTCCTCATTAGGAAGCAGTCAAATTCTCAAGAAGACACACTGTAGACATCTAAACATCTCAGCAATGCACTGTGTTTTTCGGAGGAAGCAAAGTGATATATTCACACTCAAACATGTTAACTATGTTTTCAAAACTCTAAGAGTATAGATATTTGCTAAAGTTTCTCTTACTAGACATCTCTTAAATGGGTTTTTATAAAAACAAGGCAAGAAATTTACCTGATTCTTATCTTCTTCATCTCCCTATACCATACAATTAGTGACCCAAATAATAGTAATAAACTAGTTAATAAATAACATACAATCAGTTTGATGTTAAGTCATGACATTATGCCATACTAAGAAGACATCAAATGTCTAAAATTGTAAGATAAGAATACATTAATCCCCCCTAGAACTTACACATTTAGAAATTCTAAATAAGGAAATGTATTCTACATAGGTTTTTTGCATGACATACCAGCTTGCTAATGCCATAAAAGTTATATACCACCCCAGTCTCAGATGTAAGAAAAATCTCAACACACCAACACACCCAGTTGAAACAACAATAAAATAGCTCTCATATCATAAGAGAGAGAGAATGAGGTGTTGCCATCAACAGCTTCTAACAGAACTTCATCAATCTGTTAAGTCCACAACCTTCCCATAAACACTACAAGGTATATGTATATACACACACACACATACATGTATTTTCTGAGATAAAATGCAATTGTCACCTTCACTTCAAGACATTTTGAAAGATTAATAACCAAAGATTCTTGACTTACACGCAAAAACACCACAATTTGCAATAGTGTAACAGAAAAGAATTAGATATGCTTTGCTAAATACACTCAGAAAGTGAGGGGAAAGCTTCAGGGACAGCGGCTTCCCTTTCCCCTTCAAAGCAAGGAGTTCATAAAGAAAATTACTGGGAATGGGGGGAGTAAGCCTTTCCTTCTTGTCTTCACTGCGGCCAGAATCCTTGGAAATTTTTCTATTGATCACTGAACGATTTTTCCGATGCAACTGCATTCGTCTTAGTTTTCTTATTTCCACTGTTGAGAAAAGAATTACAGCACTAACTAAAATGCCTCACTGTAGCCTAGCACCCCACACCCTCCTCTCTTACACACACCACTAATAAGTTCTGGATTATTGCTCAAATATGTGGAATTTGTAATAAAGTGTTCCACGGAACACCCCAGAACAACTTTCCCTTCTGAAGCTTTTATTCTAATCCCAGTTTAGAACATGGTACTCGAATCTCAAACCCTACAGGGAGAAAAAACACCTTGCCAGCTTGCATTGATTAAGAACCCCAAAGACCAAGGTATCAAGTACCTGTCCAGTATTTTCTGAATGATTTTCTTCATCAAAGGAGCTTCTGGGTCCAGACAGACCTCCTTCTGGTTCTTCAGCTTAGCTCTGCAGAGAAGGGAGGGACAGAAAAAAAGGGGAAGCACAGGTAAGCCGCAGTAATTGGAGTGGAGAGGGGATTGAGGACTTCCCTCTCCCTCTCCAGGAGTCACGGGCTCCTCCAGAGCAGTACCAGTCTGAACTCACATGACTTCCACTCTGGGGCACTGTGGACCTGCAGCGATCACCTCCAAATTAACGATCATTTTGGGATTAATTCTCGGAGTTACGCTTAAGCAAACGCAACGCAGCTCTGTTGCCACTCTGATGGAGGTAGGATTCCCTGGGAAGGAGACATGGTTATAGGAGGGTGCAGGCAGAGCCCTTTCCCAGCTCCTGTTATCCGGCGAGTGTGGTAGCCGGCTGGGATGTGTTAGGCACCAGGCGCCCTGCAGATACTGCGCTCTCACCTTCAGCTAAATGTTGTGGCAGTGTGAGAAGCAACAGAAACGCCAGCAGCGGGAACAGCGAGCGGGAACTGCAGGGCGTGAGGCTCATTGTGGACAAGATCCTGGACCAGGGAGCCCGGATTCGAGAGGTGCTGAAGATAGCTCTAGAGCACTGTGCTGTTCTCATACCAGCTGTACCCCCTTTTTATCTGCGCTTGTCTCTTCCTCCAGGCAGGAAAGTCAAGCTTGGAGAAGCTGGGGAAATTCCCTGGACTTGGAAGTTGGGGGAGGGGAGGTTTAGAGGGGCTGAGCAAAGGGATTAGGGAGGAGGATAGCTAGAGGAGTGGCCCCTTGCCAAATCAGAAGAGACTGTTGTAGTCCCGCCCCAGGAGAAGGCTACTGCTCCTGCCAGACTCCCTTTGGTGACTTCTCTCGCTCCTCTGTCAAGACGAGTTAAGCCCAGATTGCACAGGGAAGACACACCCCTGCGGATGCCCTTCCTTTCCATGTAGGAAGACTGGAGCCGAAGGAATGAGGTTTGGCTTTAGGAAACCCTGTGTAGGCCTTTAACCATTATTACTATGAACACTATTGTCGGGCCTGGGGCGGTGACCCAGCAGTTAACAGCACTGGCTGCTCTTGCAGAGGACTCAGACCACATGGTGGCTCCCAAGTGCCTCTAGTTCCAATTCTAGGGGATCCCATATCCTCTTCTGGCCTCTCTGGGGTACCTGCACACATTTGGTGCCACACACAGACAAGCAGACACACATACATACTCATAAATAAAAATAATTTCAAACTGTGTGTTAAAAATGAAGGCTATTTTTTTCACAAAATGTAATCATGTAATCCCTGACTAGAATTCTAGAATTGAACTAACTCGCCCCCCCGCCGCCAAAAAAAAAAACCTTTCCTCTCCTGTACATGGTAAGGTTCCTCCAGTTATTTAATAATTCTCTGGGATTCTGCCAGATTTGAAACCCAAGGAAATATGATGAAAGTGTCTTTATTTCCATCTGAAACCAGTGGTAGGAATGGCCTTCAAAATAAAAGTTGCTTACTGCAGGTCCTATGCTTGTAATTTAGCAAGTGTGTGTGTGTTTCTAGCTGGCTTAATGAACAAGGTACTCAAAAATCACCCAGGAAATTGCTTTGAAAGGATGATAAATGCTTTGTGTCTAGCAGTTCCCTTTGCTATCCAATTAAGAGAGGTTTTGTTCTTCAAATGAGTAAGGTGATTGTAGCCTGAGGAAATGCCAGGGGTTCCTTATTGTGCCTTCTGCTGTGCCTCCTCTGCCAGGTGGGGATTTGACACAGTTCTTGGAAGCTAAGGGAGGCTGATGCAATCGAGAGGATCATCTGTGAGTTTGGTGCACGGGTTTGGATCAATTTGCCAGGAAGATAGCCTCCACTCTGACTCCCTCCAAGAAACTTCTTCGGATAGATCGGAAGGGATGCTTTCCCATAGGAATCTGAGAATTTTCCAGTGATCGGTGGAAATTTAGGATGCTCTAGAGCCTGGAGAGGCCTCCCGAAGATGAAGGATGAGATGACTTCTGGTAACTGAAGATCTCACACTAAAGCAGGCATGGCTATAGTACTAGTTTGTACAGAAGCTTCTTTGGTAGTGATTTCCTCTGGATAGTTCTCAGAACCTTTGGCCTCATTGTAGGCTGGCAGAGGAAGTCTGCATACATGATGGCTGTAAGAATATAGTCATAGAAGGGAGTTACTTTATTTGTCCCCTGTAACTATGGGAACTTCCATCAACTACTCTACTTATCATTTTGTGGAATAGCAACATCTCCATTGCTGAGCAGGAAGGTATCTTAGACCTTTGAACTTACATTCTGGAAGGAAACTTGGTCTGGTTGAAGAAAGTTGGGAGGTTTGGCAATTGTGTTATAAGAAGCTAATGGGAAGTCCTGAGACCAGCAGCTTCCTGAAACCATCAGCATCATACTTGACTCAACGAAAATAATCCTTCATCCTTCTAGGGAGGGGCAATCTGTAGCAAGCAGCCTGTAGATCTATCAAATTGGCCATTTGGAGATTACAATATATCTACAGATAAAAGATAAGCTTCACTTCAAAACTTTCTTTTTAACTGACTATAAAGACATTGAGCAATTAAACTCAACCACAGAAAATAAACCACATTATTCTAAGGCTTGATGAAAAAAGTAGTTTAATGACACCAGCTATTGGTATTTAACTATTTAACGTGTGTGTATACATGTGAATATACACATGCACATCTAGGTAAGTTTAAATAAACTATTTTTAAATATAACTAAGCATACAGATTAGTTTGGCACAAATTGATCAGATTTCATAAAAGGCCAAAAAATAAAAGTGTCACGTCCCCTTAGCACTATTATAGATGTGCTTTCCCACTGGGTTTGCACTCTGAATCCATTTGTCATAATTACTTGCAGAATAGAGGGAAAAAAAGATACCCATATCTAGCACTCTGGGAATAGAAAGTCCACTCTATAAGTAGACTGTTGGATTGCCCAATGTAATCAGGAAGCAGGATGTAACCTAACCTGGCCTTGCATTGAAATTGGTCTGGCCCACTGCCATATATGGCTCCTGGGTAGTCATCTCTGACATTGGCTTATGCCAAGACCAGTGAGAATGTGCAAAGATTCTTTGAGTTTGAGAATGACAGCATTGACACTCAGTGGGTACAAGGCACTTGAAAACAATTACTTTTATGTTGTCAATTTAAAGTGAAGCCAATTGTCTTAAGTGCACTGAGTCCAAGGAGAAGAATGCTATGTTAGTTATTCACAACAGTAATAAAACAATCAATAAATCTGCAGTCACCTTAGAGCCACAAATGTTTTCTCTTATAGTCTAATTTTAGTTATGATGCCACAGTTATTAAATGGGAATGAAAACATTTGGAATGGCCTGTGGCAATTAAACCACTTTTATGGTCATTATTTTCTGAGCCTCAGACTGATTCATTGAGACAACTGAGAGAAACTTTCTTCACTCTTAATTAGCCACAGAAATCAAGGCCAACAAAAGAATGAAACGAAGAATTGGAAGCTGCCCCACTTAGCAAATCCGTTCCCAGAATGTTTTAATGGTTCCCAGGTTCCAAGCTACTTTTTTCATAGTTGTTGGCACACACCCACCATGGGCTCTTCACAATCTGGCTAACTACTTTATTGCATTGCCCGATGGTATGTTTAAAACTATTGGATTCCTCAGTCTACCTATGCTTGTCTTTGGAGGCCTCAATAATATCAAAAGTCCCAAAGACTTATAAGTAACTGAAAACACTTCCCCATTTAAGGCCAATCAAAAGTGCTATGTGCTGTGAAAAGGCTCTTCTGACAAAGCCATTTGAATATTTCCCTTTCATCTTCAGTCTTTTGCCATCTAATATTCTGCTGCATGAAATGGGGTTTATAATTCTTCGTTTGTGCTGCTTTTGTCTCTCGTAAGTCCACTGCATAGTCTGCAATCAAGGTGGATGCTTTTTCCTGTCATAAGTTTCAGTCTCACTACTGAGTGGTCCATGAGAATCTGATGATGTGGAATGAAGGTCACTTTTTACATTTTAGTGTTCTGCACTTTTGCAGTAGATCTTAAAATTAAAGAGAAAGGATGGAATAGTCATGTGTTCTTAACCCCTCTACTTTTAGAACTCTACTACTTTTGTTGGCTTACTCTCCACTGGAAATTATTTCTTGCTTATTCCTAAAGAAAATTCAAATGATAAGTTTAATTCTTTAGATTCCACACTGTTCTTCTCAGACTACTGAGAACAGAGAAAGAAAAAAAATACCTTGATATTAAAGAAAGGAAAATTATACAACTAAAATGTTACCCATATTACGTATTTTATATGACTTTAATGTTGCTGGAGATAAATCAACAAAAATGAAAATCTAATTAAGTACACTGTGCTGACTGACTGACTGTCAACAGTATGACAGGGTTACTCTAAAACATGCTTTCCAGGCAATGTGGCCTTAAATTATGTGACTGAAGATATGGTATAGGTGCTTTTAGGTACTTTATTAAATTTTATTTTTCCTTCTATCTGCCAGCCTCTATATGGTGTTTAAGAAATGCTATGTTAGTGACATGTCAATATAAGAAGAAAATAAATGGCTGAGGAAGAGTCCGTTCCTCATATGAAGAAGGGTAAAGCCAGTGACTTTTGAGTTAACTTTGAAATGTCAGTAAATCTATCTTCCTCCCTCCATATTGGATTTGACCACCCTGTGAAGAGGCAGTATAAGTCAGGTAAAAGTCAGAGAACAAATTTGTTTCAAAATGTCTTCGCAATTGAGGTACATGTCAAGAATATTTTCTTTCTCTTTTCCTCCTTTCTTTCTTCTGTGCATTATCCATTACTTTCTTGCTGTCCATTTCTGATTAACTCTACTTGAGAAAGGAGGAAATCAAATGAACCTAAACTGAGTCCATAGTGAATGAGGTTTGTGATTATCTTGCCAATTTCTGAATAAATAGGGTCTCCATCACGTTGCCTTTTGGTGGCTTGTGGAGCTTTTGGTGAACAATAATAAGCAATACATATAAGGGGAAATTATGATTAAATGTTTAAATATTTCTGAAAGACTTAGGCTTCTCAGAAGAGGAAGAATTTATAGCTTTCTTCAGAAATGTTGTCTGTGTTAGCAAAAAGTAAATACATAAATAATAGAAAGAAAATCTTTTTAGTGGGAGCTGATCTAACTAATTTTTTTAAGGCTGATGAGGTTGCTCAGGGGCAAAGAACACTTGCTGCTATTGCAGAGGACCCAAGTTCAATTCTCAGAACCCATGTCAGGCAGTTCACAACTTCCTAAACCTCCACTTCCAGGAAATCCAATGCCTTCTTCTGGCCTCCTCGGGCACCTGTATTCCCTAAGTTCACATACATACACATAAAATATTTTTTTAAATGAAAAAAAAAACTTAACTAGTTTTGAGAAAGAAGTTTGTGAGGCTGTGAAAGTCCTTCATAGTAAGTTAGACTTTTAACACTGTGCATAGTAATGGCCATTGGCTGGGTGATTTCTAAGCACCACTACCAAGACTAGACTTTCCAACCTTTTGGCTAAGATCAAGTGCAGTATC